GGTGAGGCGGAAGAGGAGACTAAGGGAGTGTTAGACTCTTACTGACTAAAAACCACCCCGTTCCTTCTCCTGCACGTCGAGCCGGAGCCCCGGTTCTCCGCGACAACAGCTACCAATTGGGTACTAACAGTTTTATTCTACTAATGGTTTCTCAATAGTATAAAATCTTTTTAGAAGTTGCTATTTTTGCCGTTCAGAGTTTGCCGTGGTCAAATAGTGCCTCGAAACAAAAAATTCAAGATTATAAATTGAATATATCAAGAGTCTTTTGCGAAAGAAAATATAATAAATAAGTTCCGTGTGGTAAGATATAGTGCTTCCTAACTGTTTGTGACGTTTTAGGGCCTGGCTTGTGACGGTAAAAAGGCAGTGCATCCCCGTAACGTCACTCCACGATGATAGACTTACAGAATTCGTATATTTTAAGATAGAATTGGGATGACGATAGGGTATGAAAATTAAAAATCTTATTAGTCCGTAAGTTAGGTAATGAATAAATATTAGACACGTATTTTTTATTTTGTCGTGTAATAAAACAATACTTAGATAAAACGAATCAAAGTTTAGGAGACAAATTCTTGTATTGGATTAGGTTGTTTTGGGTTTAGATGTGATGTGTATGAGGATGGTATAATATTAACTACTGTATAAAAACGCTGCATAATTGAGTACTTTCCTTAATCTAAAATAAATTATTTTGACTGTACAGTACAATAAAATATGAAAAAATAATCACACTTTCATTATTTGATTTTAAAACCAACTTTATTTAAGTATTTTTCCAGAAATTTTTTAAGAAATAAGTATGCTGTTTGACGCTACAAAAACGTGGCGTCACAATACAAAATCTCGTACTAAATTCATAGAAAACTGTTTTGACAGTCCGAAAAAAGTATTGAATTTGACTTGTTGGCAAGTACCCAATTTGCTAATTTTCTAACTCGATAGATATTTATTCCATTAATTAAAGAGCAAGTTAATAAAAAGACAGTTATTCAGTAAACTATGTTATATTACATTTTATGTAAAACAAGTTCTAACAATAAATACAGCTACATGAAAGTGTAACAGAACAATTGCACAGATATAAAGTTTGAAGCTAAAACTCCACAACTAGTTTGAATGGCCAACTTGCACTGTTAGCTGTTGGCACAATATCTAGTTGCTAACTTTGCTCTGGATTAGATTGTTTATATGATCATGCATTTTGTAAATGCCTCTTTTATTAATTTAGTCTTAATTACGTAAAATTTGATGACGCAAAAGTAGTCTCTAAACATCAGCAATAAGGTCTTAAATAGAGTTAATGGATAACGTTTACCGGTGACCACTTGGGGATTCAGCAGTTTGATGAATTTATTTTATTATTAACTATATTATTTACGAGTAGCTGACCCAACAAAGTTCGTACAGTCTAAAAATTTTTCTCATCTTTTAAACCTTCCCTAGACTTCCATGGACATTTCAAGACCAAAATTAGCTAAATCGGTTAAGCCGTTCTTGAATTTTACGGAGACTAACGAATGGAAATTCATTTTTATTTATATAGATAGAATTATTCACACATAAGACTAATATATTTTTGCACTCCATCCAGATGTGAATGAAAGAAAAAAAGATGTGATTCCGTTATCACCATTCCTGCCATAGGGTAAATTTTTTAGTGTCTAAACTACACCAAAATATTTATTAATTATTAAGATAAAGTATTGAATTTTTAAATACGAAGGTGCAACAATCAGTGTATTATTGTTTGTATGACTACAAACAGTTTGAGAATTTTTAAGAGATCTGTGTTTTACTTGTGAATATTTTTGTTCAAGTAAATAATTAAGTAGATAGATAGGTAACTAATTATTCATAATTTAATTAAACTTTTTTTTTCGGAATGTGCATGGCAAGTGTCTTAATAGCTTTATAAAAATGAGTTTCTTGTAAAAAAACGCTGCTAGCTGTCAATTAATTTAACAATTAAGTAAACATCATATCTTATTTCTACATAAACAAAAAACAAAGAAATCAAAATAAATCAGAAAACACTTACTGAAAAGGAACATCGTCTTTCAGCCATATCTTCCAAACTATCGAGAGAACTCTGTGAAACCCTGAGAGTATAAAAAAATAAAGTAAACATAAACAATAACAAAAAAAATAGAGGTAACAAAATTTAAAAAAAGAATTATGAAGTAAATAAATCAAGACCCGCCCAATCAATCCGTAATTGTGCAAATATATTAAATTACTAATTATTTACTCACCTCATTGGTTCTTCAAGATACTAAAGCACTTGAAGCTCCTGTAAACAAGGAAAATTTGTTTTGAAAATAATGAACACAAGTTTTTTTCGGTAAGTGCGACATATTTTATTACTATTTGTATACTCACTTTGTTCGCCAGGAACATTTCTAGTTAGCTACCGGGATACTCTAACTACATATTGGCACATTATGGACAAATATTTCAAACAAAACACCATGTTTTCACAGAAAATTCTCGTAAATTTTTAGTCCAAAATTCATAAAACCAATCAATCATACAATGTCGTTCCGTTCTCTGAAAATAACACTTTTATTATTTGACACTTCGCGGTATTGATTTTCAAGGAAATGTCAAACACATGCTCACTTTCATGCGTGAAACGAAAAGCGTTTGATTGTCAGTTGTTCGTCCGGAAATTTCAGTTTTCTGTTTTGTTTACATTTTCATGCGGGACATGGAAACGAAACATTATACATGTGATTTTTTTACTACAAATTACCATTCATGTATTATTAAAATAGCATAATTTTAAACATCATGCCTTATAATTCCCGAAGGATATCGTTTACGATTAATATGTATGTTTTCACCATTCACGGGACCACAGAGTCCCGGTCATTTGAAAAGCCGAAGCCAACTGCGCAGAGGCCCTTTAGACAACTTTAGTCTAAATGTAATGGACACACAAACCGGCGACTATCTTTATATGCACGATGAATATGCACCCAAGCACAGTCCCAGGTTAGTAGATGGGTTGCTATGGACCGGTAAATTAGGAACTACAGATGACATCTGCCGAAAATCTAAATATTACACGTAAAAATGGCAGGTGGAGATTAGCTAACTCATCGACCGGGCCCCGGGAATATAGCAATAGAGGGACAACTAGAATGTGAGTGGCTGAAGGGTTAAAAAACTACCACCGCTTTCTACTCAGATCATCTGCTCCAGCCGAAGCCTCTTGCATCACTGGCCCACTCGCGACTTACGAATAGTTTCTTACCCTCCCTCTTTATAGATAACTATATAGCTATCGCGGCTTTGCACTGGTACTGTTTTCCCACTGTCCAGTCGATATTTGATGTCTTTCTCTTGCTTACTGTTTAGTAATACCAGGATATTTAATTCAGCTAATTGTCTCCATTTATTTCTAGGCTTTTAATGTCCACAAAGGGTTGTATTCAATGTATTAAAGGAAAAAATAAAACTCAAAAATTTTCGAAATATTTTATTTTCCACTTGTAAAAACTGTACAAGTCCTAACAAACTTATAAATTAACATTACATATGGACATTGCATGGCACTGACGATAAAGCCACAACTTTCAACATGTCGGATTGTACTCCTACACAATATCGCAACATTTCAACACTTTGCCTACAAAAACTTCAGTCGTTCTTTAAAATTGATATTCAAAACTTGATAAGGTCAATAGGTCATAAATTTGTATAAAAGTTGATTGTTCCAATGATCGATGAAAGGTGGAGCTACACTTTTAGCTACTAATCGCTGGCTGTATGTTAAAGTGGCTCGTCATTCATTATAAGATTGTTAAATAAAACTAGTTTACATTTTTTTTCATAATTCCACACGCAAGGAGCACATTGTATCGGGTCCTTCCCCACAAAAAAGTATAAATGATAAAATATTGTAATCGTCAGTGTTGCCCACCTATTTTCAATAATGTTGGCAACAGGAAATATTTGGGAAGTTGATTTTAAAAATGGAACACAATACAAACCATCTTATTCTAAAAATATGGGATTAAAATGTAAAATATATAAATTATGTACACTTTCAAAGCACCTCATTTGACACTGGCGATAATATCAATGTTTGTTCTGGGCACATAAAGTCTGTTCTAAAAATTTTATCAGTCTGAAGGTATTTATCAATAAACCAAGTAATGTTCGAGACACTTTAAAAAAATTCGAGCATTGAACATTTTATCCTTGATAATTAATGTATAATTTATTCATAAATATCTTCAGTTGTAAACTATAAATCATGATGTTATTTATAAGCACTAATTTATAGTTAGTATCTGTTTCTAATACAGTTATAATTTAACAAAACGATATAACCTACTTAAAATGTTTATTCAAAAGTTATAATATTCGATTGATTTAGTCCCTATGTTATATTAACAATATGATATACGGGGGTCAACAAAAAAATCTAAAATCAATTGTATATACATTAAAACTTAACTTTTTTAATGATTATGTGTTAAGACATCGCTTTGAAAATGCAATCAAGAAAATGAAATGAAATGCGTCGTCGGAAATGTAATGATATCAGATAATAATTGGAAGGCAAAGATTATAAAGCAGCCTTTAAATGCTGCAAAAACTTAATAGTATATAATCTCAAATGATTTATATATAGAGCAGAAAGGTTGCAGAGTTTACTCTTAGGACTTTACCAAAAATAATTCCTAAATCAGAAATATGCATTTTTACACCAAAAGAAAAATGGACCGTTTCTGTTAAAACAAAACCGATACAAAACAAATAATACTGAATACATACTTTATAACTTCAAAACACTTATTCGAATTGTTCGTCAATATTTTAATTTAATTTATTCAATAAAATTTAAGGTCACTTTGAATGTAAAATATATTTATTTGTTACACAATGAGCAATTTCGATTTTTATATTTAATATTATCTAATAATCGTTTAAGATTATTGTCATAAATATTGGTAGAGTTGAGTAGGAAACACATTTGATACTCTTACATAGACATTAATGGGGTAAGGTTCAAATTGCATTGAATGAATAACTTATAGAGTTGATATGATTCTCGTTGTCAAAAATGTTTCCTACTAAAATGTGACATGGAATAATCAATAAGTTACATAATTAACCCTACACCGAGCAGTGACTAAATGATGATACGAAGTTACTCATACACTGTATATACAAACGCTGTTAAACGGTTACGATTTATCATAATTCGTTGTAATACAACACAAAAAATAATAAATAATATATAATCTATGAACATTCAACAACTATACTAAGTTATAACATAGATTTTTGAATCGTTAACTAATTGAAACGTAAAAGAAAATGATTAATGATTACAATTCAATCAAAATCATAGTGTATAAAGTTCGTAGTACAAATCGGTTGTTACCTATATATTTTAGTTAGTGATGAGTGGTGACGTCACACTGCGGCGCTTCATATCGGTCGCGTGAAGTTCGCGGGGAACATTCCCTTCTCATTGGTTGATTCTTTGATGCCCATCAGCCAGCCTTCCTCCTGAAAATTCATTAAAGCAATTTTTATAAAAATATACAACTCTCAAATTAATTGGTTAAATTACAGTTTAATAATTAGCTTCAATAGTTTCTGAGACCATGGTAACGTAACTGGGAAAGACAATATTTTGATTATTCTTCCTAGAGCATAAAAAGTAGTAGCACGGAGTCTGGAATTGTGCCCGGTATATGGCATAAGATAAATAGTGAAAAGTGGGTGTTACATTGTACAGTGGCATAATGTACACCTCTGCCTACACCTACAGGGATAAAAGGCGTGATGTTATGTAGTAGTTCAGCTAACTGTGTAGTTGTGACAAAGTAGAATACAGTTTGTTACCCCTCCTACTCTACCAGTCATTCATTAGACAGAGACCGAGCATTAATGTTCTCTGAACCTTTTAAACTGTCTGCCAACTGTCTGCTAACCGTGAAAATTAGTGATAGTCCACTGCTTAACAAAGGGTACGAGCTATTGATAAATGGGAACAGTAGGTAGCACATCATACCTGTTCATCAGGATCATCGTATTCCACGACGCGTATAACTTCGCCGACGTCGAAGGAGAGCTCGTCGGAGTCCTCGCGGGTGTAGCGGTACGTGGCGCGGACACGGTACAGGGTGCCCGCCGGGAGACCCGCCAGGGTCGCTCCTGTACCAAGGTTGTAGTTAGGAAGGGACGAGGTGTATGGTATGGTAAAGTTTAGCAATGGGAAATAACGAACCACATTAAAAAACAATTCTATTTTCTTCTCGTAAAACAAGAGGAAGCAAATTCAGAGAAAACGATTAATCCAGTGATATATAAATAGTTATTTTGAGCTGCAACACTAACAGGTTTTTCAGTGGTGACATTAAAAAATTTAGTTTAGGTTACAAAATACTTTTCTGGGTCAACCCTAGATTGCATATGAAATAAGTCATTCAATTAAGTGTGTTTCAAAATGACCTCAAATACAATTGATATTTTTTTAAGACGCTCCTATTAAATAATTTCAATGTATTTCCCTTGGTAAACTTTAGTATAACAACATAGTAAAGTTAGTATTACATAAAAAGCTAAATTAATGGTTAAAAATATTAATATACACGAAAACAACGAACAAGCGAAATCATCGGCATACAATATTAACAGTAAATATATACATACGTATAGTATCTGCTGATGTCCAAATAATATTAATAAGTACACAATTAATAAATACTAACATTTCGATCGATAAAAATATAGGTACATAAATGATATTAATATTCAATGTTCAGGTTTCCCAAAGTATTAAAGAGATCTTCAGAATGTCGTGGATCTGCCACAATTAATACATTTGAAAAATAAATATGTTTTAGATTGAGTACCAACTAGCGACTAGATTAAAGATTATGTTAATTTATTCCATCACTTACGATAAAAGCGTTGAGTTGTTAGATCCCCCACCGATGAGCGTTATTCACTAAGAATTAAGACTTGTTCACACTACAAGTGAGGTTAAAAAATGATTTGGATAAACAAATATGGAGATATCTCTCTTGAAATGAGATCAGAGGCCTTAGTACGAGTTTGTTTTACGTTTAAAGTAATTGTAACGAGTGCGCGTTCAGCGCTGTGATTGGCCGGCTAAAATGAACCGACCAATCAGATTGCCGAACGTGTACTCGTTTCGAATACTTTAAACGTAAATCAAACTTGTACTAAGGCCTCAGAGTGCCAAGCAGGCCGGCTCCAGTGAACGAACCAATCTGGGCCTTTAGCCAAACGCCAGTTTAGCGCTTGTCTACAGAGAGAGTAGAAATCAAAATGTATGGGGATGACACTGACAAGTGTCAAAATTTACGTCAATTCCATATAATTTGGTTTTCTACTCTACATGTAGACAAGCGCTAAATGGCACTTGGCTACAGCTGCAGGAGAGTCAAACGCGCTCGATACTATTACGTTATGAATGTGATAGTTATTCGTGCTTGGCACGCTGGTAGTGTGAAAAAGTCTACTACTTTTATCTCGAGACTATAAACGAAATAAATTACTTTATTCGTTTATTCCTCCCTCAGACCATCACTTACCAATCGGTATGTCGTATACATCGTCGTTCTTGTTTTCACTGTCATTCTCCTTCTCTTTCTCGCCTTTTGGTTCTACATCTACTTGTCTCTTTTCCTCCGTGTTATTATTTGACTTCTCCGGTGGTACTGGCGACCCTGAGAGAATTGTGACTTGCTATTTGTCTACTGGTACTTGGCTTAGTGTAAGTGAGACTACTGTATTACATTACTGTGTCTTTGAATTGTCATACTGTATAAATTGTACTGTGGCATAGTATAAGTTTAATGTTTAAGTGATTAACATTATTGTTTGGTATTAGCTATTTAGAAATAGCTCTAGCCATGCGTCTATCTACCACGACATTTAATTAGTACCATCTAGATCTAGCTGATACCTTCACTACTCACCGACTTTGGGTAGAATTCTTTATCTACCTACGTACTTAGCTACTAGGAGCCCGTTATGACGGAAGACGTAAGTGCTGACTTACCAACAGGTATGTCGTATAATTCTTCGACTTTCTTGTCCGTTGGTTCCTTCTCTACGTTGTTGTTGTTGACTGGGGGCGTGGGGGACTTGTCCTCTCTCTTGGCGGGTGGCGTGGGGGCCTCGGCTTTGGTCGGTTCCTCACTGCGCGGCTCCGGTAGGGGGGGAGCTCGCACCTCCGCGGCCGGGGTGTCCCCCGCGGCGGGGGACGGCGGGGGGGACGAGCCATTCAGCGCGGGGGACGGGGGAGCTACACACACACACTCCGGACATGCATACACTTGTTACGTGTTAGGCGGGGGAGATGACTAAGTTCAGATAAAATACTTTTAAATTATAATTTGGAAGATAAATAGGTTCGTAACTTTGTCATCTCCAATTAATTAAGATAATGCTAACAGCTAATTCAATTTCAAACCGATTAATGTTTAGGAAGCAATCACTCCAATCAAACAATCGAATTATTTACTCGAACACAACACAAAAGCCAAATATATCAGTTACATTCTCGTATTTTACATTTTTAAAAAGTAATAATTTTCCTAACATATGAAACCCTACATGATTCTAATTGAGTTGCACTGTCTGACATAGTGATATCTAGTATTACTGGTTTTTGAAACAATAGTTAATAGTCCTCAAACTTAATAACTTCCTATGAGGATAATTAGGCAGTTTCCTTAATCAAAACTAAATTGTTTTGATTTATCAACCGTAATAAGTTGACACTATAACTAGCCAACATTTTGGGCATATACATAAGTCTAATATCTAAAGAAGTATTAAACAATCAATATTTTTTAACTGAACAATAATCATACTTCAAATTAGGACCCAAAATAAGAGACCAGTACAGCAGTGGATGTAAACCGCATATTATAGTTCCTATATATCAGACAGTACAACATTTTCCCTATACGCCATTTCATTAGGAAACGGGTAAAGTTAATGTTGATATTAGAAGTGACTAGAGTTGTGACCAAATCGAGTTAAAATATCGATTAAATATATCAACGGTAATAAAATTTAATACGATTCCACGATCACTAAAGCAACTCCAGTAAGTTCAAATACCAAACATAGTCTACCTTTCCTAAATGAAATGGTTTTATAGCGTGGTTACAATGTGGGTACTGACTCTGCACGGTGTCGGTGTGCTTCCCGTTGAGCGCGGCGGGCGCGGCGGGCGCGGCGGCCATGTTGTTGGCGGCCATGTTGTTGACGGCCACGTTGTTGGACTTCTTGCTGTACGACCCGCGCTGGCAGTCGTTCGCCAACTTGTCGGTTATCACTTCCAGTTCACCGAATACCTGGAATTTGGAGAAGAAAGATTTTTGAAGAGGTATTCCAAAATGAATCGGTAAATGTAGGTAAAATTTTATTTTGGAGTCAGTTTTTTATCCGCAACATGATGAGATCAAATTGGTTTTTGAGTAAAGAATTTAATTAATGTAAATGAAAAGGAATATAATAATAGGTGGATTATGTAAAAAGGAAAAAAGTGTGTTGTGGATTGCAGTGCAATATGGTAACTCGGGAGTTCTGTCATTCACATCTATCGGGATAGATGTATACGGGATAGACAGAACAGTACAATAGTTGCGCCTGCGCGCCACTTCAATTAAGTTGACATAAAGGCAGATAGGAAGCTTTTATTAGTATAAAAATTAGGAATTATGAATATTTTGGACGTTTTACCTTATTTACAATTTAAATATCTAACCACATATGCTCTCAATAATAATAAGCATTTCATAACAGACAATTTACAATATCCTCACCTTATGACTTTCAGAATGGAACAGTTGTTCAGCCGAGAAGAGTGTTTGCAGATTGTTGACGTAGAATAGAACCCGGGAGTCGTAGAGTGCTGGCAGTTCGTCGTGCAGTTCAGAGTTTAGGACTTCGTATGTACGTTTCGCTTCTTCTAGCTGTTCCCTGCCTTTGGTTACCTGGAAGACGGACAAAGACATGGTTAGTATAATAGAATAGAATCGTATATTTTCTAATTAATAAGACTGCATGGTTTGTGCGGTAGCTGGGTAACCGGCTGGCGCGCAACGTGTTGCCAGGTTCAATTCCCGCATAGAAGAACTATTTATGTGCTCCACAAATTGTTGTTTCATAAAATGTCAAGTCATAAAATGACTGCAGAAAGTTGTTGTTTCAGATCTGGGTGTAATGTGTATGTGAAGCTGGAAGATGGAATGTATGTGAAGTTGTATGTTTGTGAACACACCCAGGACACAGGAGAAAATCCTAGAGCGGGGCTAAGATTAAAAAAAAGATAATGAAAAAATTCTTATCGAGATTGTCTACAAACGCTCAAGATTTTTCCGGTTTCGGTTCAGAAGAAAAAGATCAATTTTCTTTTAAGCTTTTGTATTAATTGACAGCTTCTGACAGGCCTCTACTGGACTATGGGTTTCCTCTAAATGTGAGGAGTTACCAATAAAGGACATTAATTCTTGGCAGGAGAGCTTAAAAGGTTCGGGTTTATCACAGAACGGTCCTGCCTGATTTGTCGGTTCTTATTACACCTGTACAACTACTTTGCTCAATATTTAACCAAATTTGAAGTTTGTATTGACTTGTATTAAGGGTGATAGTTACCTTAACATCGTCCCTCCTCTTCGTAGCGTTCGATTGCAGATTCTGGAAACTGTGCCTTTGACTGTCGTAGTCCACCAACTTGCGACCACGTTTCTCGATCTTTTTCTGTAATTATTAATTAAATAGAGTAAGTTATCATGCTAATTTATTAAGTTATATATTATTCTTAGTTTTTAACTGTTCATATGAAACCTCATCAAAATTTTATTGTAGATACTAACTGCATTCATACATAGTTTTATCTTCATAAATAAACATGTTTATAATTTAACCACAATTAGAGCAAAACCATCAAATAGGTTACGCGAATGACAGGAAATAAAACATAACCCTAATTTGATTATCCTTTAATTTGTCGACCATAAACTCGCAATAATTTGAAGAGCGATTAAAAAAATCATGTCTAATTAAAGTAATTAAGCTCGTTTAGACTCAATCAAATTAATCAAAAGCTTCATAATTAGATTAATTTGCTTCTAGCAAACCGTTTAGTTTTCTGCCATCTGTGATCGCGTGATTTGAGTCAGCTAGCTATAAATATCCAATAATTTGCTGGTATATTAATAGATATAAAAGTTAGACACGACTTTGAGCTTCTATTAATAGTACTTCAAACCATAGGACAGTTACTGATATTTTCTATAGATTAGGACTATTTTTACTATCACATCATTAGGAGGAAGAAGTCCATTGCTAAAAGGCCTTCCATTCGTCAAGGTGATGTTTGCTGTAATGCCCACGAGCGATAGGGTGGATTATTACAATTCATTAAGTTTAGAAAATATTATTGTTTTCTTTGGTCGCTTATTTCAAATTAAGACTATTTTAGTTGTGCAATAGATCAAAATGTGTAACTTCAACTTACCCTGACTTCAGGGAACTGGTTGGTGTACGTATTGAGTGGTATGAGTACTTGATCGCCGAGCTTGTGAGAGAAGTCCTGCCATAGCATCTCCAAGTTTTGTGCCTGCACGTACAGGAGGTCGTGGCCAGACCACCCGCTCTCGTACACTTCCGTGATAGCCTCCATCAACGACTTTGATGCCGTCTGCACCGCTGAAGAATATCATAAAGACAGATTAGTGATCTGATGTTATACTATTTCTAAATCTACAAATTATATTTTAGTCTCGACCGAGTTCAAAAATGACATATTTACGAGCGTATAAATTGTAAAACTTGTACCAAACGATATTAGTAATACCGCTATCAACATTTCTACCAGCGATTGTTGAATCGATTATCATTTATCGGATATTTGTTTGAACACTGCTAGCTGCGAAACTGATCACATTTTTCGCGCTACACTAGACCTCATTACAAGCTGCGATCTATTTGTCGTAGCACTATGTGCACACATTTGGCACGCACCCAGAACGAGTTCAAGATACTCTGCGCATCAGAGTGTTAGTAATTCGTCATTCCTTTGATCGAATTCAGCGCAATTTAGCGAAAGTCTATAACTGTAGTGCCAGGAAGAGTGCCTTAAGATCTGAACGCTGCTTTGTGTCCATACAATGGCACGAAGGATGTGGAGATGAAATGATCAGCAACGTCCTGCCTCTTAGATTGCTGTTAGGTCGAATTAGTATCTAAGAATTATGAGGGAACTGTTAGCCTGGATTCGCATGTGGCTATTCAGATCTGTTTAGCACTATCTATCGATCTTCTTAAAAGTAATGTCGAGGAATGTTCAACAAATTTTCGATTTCAATATACAAACCCCCTAGCAGTGATAAAAGCGTTTAAAGATATTAAAGTTAAGTCGACTGAAGATCTTTGGGGAATGTCAGTAAGGATGTGTAGATCTTTTATAGAGACTATAGCGCCTCATTTGGCATTAATTTTTAATAAAAGTGTAGATCAAGGAATTTTTCCAGATTTAATGAAACATAGTAAAGTAGTGCCATTGTTTAAATCCGGTGATAGTGCGGAACCTAATAACTACAGGCCGGTCTCTATCTTGCCAGTGCTCAGTAAAGTGTTTGAAAGATTGATGCTTACTCAGATGCTGCGTCACTTTAACATGAATACTATATTTCATGACCAACAATACGGGTTCACCAAGGGACGTTGCACGACTGATGCCGGGGTAGCACTAATTAAGCGGGTTTTTGCCTCGTGGGAAGAGGCACAGGATGCCATCGGAATATTTTGCGATCTTTCGAAGGCATTCGACTGTGTTGAACACGAGACACTATTGCTGAAGCTGGAACACTACGGCATTCGGGGTGTATCGCTGAATCTGTTAAAGTCATACCTTCAGGATAGGCAACTTAAAGTACAGGTAAACAAAGTAAACTCACAGGGTGCTGGCATGTCTATGGGCGTACCGCAGGGCTCAATACTAGGTCCATTCCTATTTTTAACATATATAAATGATTTGCCATATTTATTTCAAAATGAACCACATATTGTATTGTTTGCTGATGACACATCATTGGTTTTTAAAATAAATAGACGAACAAATAATTATGACGACGTAAATAATGCTCTGATGAAGGTTCAACATTGGTTTACAATAAATAACTTAGTGCTAAACGATAAGAAAACGAAATGTATTAGATTTGTTCTGCCAAATGTTGGAAGTAAGGAATGTGACATATTATTAAACAGTCGGAAATTAGAATTTGTAAAAGAGACTACATTTCTGGGAATTACTGTAGATGACAAATTGCAATGGGGTCCTCATATTACATCTCTAGCGGGACGATTAAGCTCTGCAGCTTATGCTGTCTGGAAGATCCGACAGTTAACCGACATAGACACGGCAAGACTAGTGTACTTCAGTTACTTCCATAGCATCATGTCGTATGGCATTTTGCTGTGGGGACACGCTGCGGACACTGAGTCTATCTTTATCTTACAAAAGCGCGCCGTCAGAGCTATCTACAACCTAGGTCGTCGCGAATCTCTCAGAGAAAAGTTTAAGGAGATCAATATTATGACGGTTCCATGTCAATTTATTTATGAAAACATTATGTATGTTAGGAAGAACCTACAGTTGTTTGGTAAAGTGTCTGACAGACACCACTATCAAACTAGACATAGGGATAGACTAAGTCAGCCACTATTTAGATTGACAAAAGTACAAAAGTCCTTTATGGGATTCTGTGTTAAATGCTATAATAAAATTCCGGAGGAAATACTACATTTAAATGAGTCAAAATTTAAATTATATGTTAAAAAAACGTTATGTGGGAAAGCATACTACAAACTTAATGATTACATAGAGGATAAAAATGCTTGGAGGCATGCTGGTCCGGCTCCACAGGATAGCGAAAAACATTGATGTTCCAATGAGTTCCAATCATGTCAAATACAGCCATTTTGTTCAAATGTATGTACACTGTAAAACTTTATATAAGTATTGTAAATGTGAGAGCCCTGTAACTAACTAAATTAAATTAGACTAGTAGAATGCATGTGTGTCAGCTTGGAGTTGTCATGCTCACTCAAAAGTCTCATTGGCAGTGGCACGGGCAGTGGATCGCTCGATTCCCTATAACATGGTCGAGTTGGGCGGTGCTGGTGTACGTGTCATGTTCGTGAACGGGCGCTGTCAAATGGGACTGGTCAGCTCCAGACTGTATTAAATTTGTTGTCCTCAAGGTTATTTTCTTTTTCCGTCTCCTTGACCAAATATTGGTATTACATTGTTCTCACATTATTGAACTCAACGGAAGAATGTAACCAAAAATTGTATTGTGAACATGATTGAAAAAGAGTAACCTATGGAGTTTCTTGCTCGTTCTTCTCCATAGGAATCTACACTTTGGAACGAGCAAATAGCTTCACTAGAGGACTGACCTACAGACTGACATTTTTTTTTCTTATTTTTTCTTATTATTTAATATTTAAATATTTTGTATTGACGTTCAAAAGTGCCTTACTGGTCTAATTGAAATAAATGATTTTGACTTTGACTTTGACTTTGACTTTGACTTTGTTTAGCGCGACATCGCATCGTCGGAATGATCAGATTTCGACCTCAATCAAATTTCCGAGACTGTTTCGAATAGTCTAATTTAAAATGGGGTTAGGTGGAACAGAACAGAAATAGAGAAGAATTCTTTAGTAATCACATCTTTAAAGAACTTAATACTGATTTGGGTATAGGTACCGAATAGCAGGCTTAATCCCAGCAACTGTAGATTTTGTTTACTGATTCGTTTAATTTTATTATGAATGCTCACCTCGTATACATCTTATGTAGTTGTTGAATTCCTTTTGAAGCCTGGTAGCCTGTTGGTGCTGCCTGTTGAAGTTCTGCAGGTGCTCTTCGAATATATCGTCGAGGGTTCGGTCTACCTTGCCCAGGTTTTGAAGGAGCTGTAAACAAAGAAAGAGGGCTTTTTAGTTTTTATACAAACATGATTATCTATTTATAATAAAAGCATCATTTGAACAGCATCTTAAGATATATTTAATAGAAGAGCTTCAATCTTATTCCTTAACATAAAAAAATCCTATACGGCCATGACCCTTCCGTAGAATACCTCCAGTTTAATCTGCAGGAACCTCTAAAATTTTAACATTCAGGGCTCTACTAAAACATTTCATCACATAGCGTAACCCTACACTGGTTCGTACCAAGGATATCTAGGTTTAGTACGCCGCAGGAATGAGTGCAACAATTATTATTTAATCTATTACCATTCCAACTTTATTGCTTTGTTCCTGTTGCATTGAGTGGTTTGTGGAAGTTTATTATTGGACACAGGGATACTGAGAGAGCAGTCATGTCATAATTATGCTGCTTCTGGGTAAATATTTGCACCATCGTCGATTTAATAGCTGTATCCAAATAGCTGCAGTTAACCTCACGAATTTGATTTACAGACTACTATTTTCAATGACTAGGATTACTTAATCCAGTCTTTAATGGTTGTACTTAGGCATAAATAGACTAGGCCAATAATGCTCTTTTGAGCTACATGTCCAAATCTTTAATATCCTAACTAAAATAACTCGCCATTTCATTGAATGCGACATATAAAGCACAACTACAGAGATAGTTGTCACACCCACATACCTATAATATGTAGCCTAAGCAACATTACACAGTTTATCATTAACTAATTAAATATTTGTCCTAATAACCACGTCATGTTTGAGGACCATGAAATAAGCCGTAAATAATATTTTTAGGTATGTTTTATAATATTATTTGTTCTAAATTACGTCATGCGTAAGTCAATTGCGGGGAAATTAAATTACTAGGCTAGTGGTTGAATGCCGTTCGACGTAACATACAATTTTGATAACAATAAAAAGATCTGCTACAAAAATAAGCCTTATTCCTTTGCAAAATGAATTATTATTCTTCTTAAATTCAAAGGACACGAAAATAATTTAGCCATTGTTGACTTTGTTTCTTGTTAGTTCAAAAGGAGATGTAAATAGTCGTTACAAAACACATACAGTCTATCATTGCGACCTTGTGCTCACTGATTGTTGCTTTATTTACAAAACATGCACTTCGCACCTCTGATGTGCACACTGCCTTGATCAGTAGCGTTGATGCAAGTTTGTTGAGATGAACAGATTTTGCAAATGTATACCGTAATGCAGATTTGTAAGAGCAATTATTACTTGCATGCTCTTGTTTTAATTTAATCTGTCAAACACCAAGCGGTCACCGGTGACCGCGACCTATTGTTCTTTAATTGTGTCTATAAAACCGGTACTCGACGAGTTAAACTGCTTTTTTAATTCCTATTGAGAAACAGATTTTTATCGACCGTAGAATAATGGCGAATTTTTTATTAGGTACTTTCGTTTTTGTATGACCAAATGTATATTTTCGAAGCTTAGGATGTAAGCATTTTTGCAGTTGGCACTCTGCAGATTTAGTTGATCTACAAGAGACAAATGACTGTCGCAAATTCCAGGCTAATATGCTGTCGGTATTTCTAATATTGGCACCTTTATCACCAACCATGACCAGCTCAACAATAGAAGACATAATGATAGCCAAAGAAGATATAAAACAGTGTCAAACGTCACAGTACTTAAGCTGACTATCACATAGATGATCCATTAACATACCAAACACGTATATCATAATGTCATCGACCGGGCCACCACACCCATTGTTCCAGTGCCAGTGTAATGCAACGCAAAACCATGAAATGGCCGAAGAAAATTATATTAATTATGTTTTGGTTCCGACTGTGAGTACGGTGTTTTATTATATTCCTAGACTTTGAATGACACGTTGACTATATCTGATTTTTTCTTCCCTAGAATTTGTGATGTTTGTAAGTATGATGATCAGTAGATCAGTCAGAGACAGCCAATCCAATGACTTATTTTCACCATATTTTAGAGATCTATCTTGTCTAGACCTAGGTCTTGGTTCTTAGAAGACAAAATCACATTTTTTACAGTTTATATGAATCAATTAATTTGGTTGACTGTTCCTAGGTACTTTTAATCCAATCTTCATGTTCCGCCCTGTCTAGGTCATGAAGTCTTCAGTCCATTAGTCACACATTAAAAACTTGAAGAACATTTTCGGAAGTGACAATCAGGTGTAAGCGGTTACCTCGGTTACGTCCGTCGCTCATCGTGACTCGAGTGACGTCACATCCGCCGGCGTTTCCTTTCGTTTTCGATTGTCTTTGACCGAACTAATTATGATAACTCTGCGTATGAGTCGATTATTTTTGCATAATGTTTTGTTTATGAGTGTTTTTAACATTGAATAACATTGAATAAGAGTTTTAGTTGGTAATAAATCGTTATTGACTTAATTTATCTATTTACTGCACCCAGATGCAGTTTGAACTCACTAGGGGAGATGGTGGTAATGATGTCCACAAAAATATTACAATACAAAGATTTAAAGCTAAAACAAGCTAAACACCTAGATCATACAGTAACATATTGATTGTAAAGTTGACAAGTGAACACGTAGCAATAGAATGACACAGCATCAACTATTGGGACTAGGTAACCACGAGTAAATGGCATGTCATCAACCAATCAAAACGATTCGTTATTTCAAACCCGTTACCACCATTTACTATGGTTATTCACTTTTTGCTGAAGAAGAGAATAGAATAACCGTGTGACGACACACTGAGCTACAAATTGTTGCAAAATAATAACTTTGTAGCGAACCGATTACTTGAAAGTAAGATATCTTAAATCACACGTGTATAGGTAAAGATATGACAAACACATATTGGACAGTAGATGATAATGTTTGATTAGACGATTACAATTTATAATTAGGTATTAATTAAATATTTATGCATATCGAATTTATCAATGAGAGATAGGAAAATATTTAAAGACCTAAATATAAGTAGGTAAGTCATGTAAATCCATAATAGGTATACTTGTCTTGTTATGTCGATTCAAAAATGATACAAAGAAACATAGAAAGTTAGTTATATTTAATAGATATTGTAATTTCATTACATAATCAATTTAAAACGCTACCAAAATGAAAAGGGGGATTGTCATAAACCCTAGAGGCAGTGGATGCAGGTGGCGAGTTGTCGTTCCACGTGAAGGACTAAGGGTACGTGCCTTTGTGCAGCAGTGGTACGTCTTCCAGTTGTTGATGATAATGATACCAAAGTAAAATTTTGATCACAATTCACGATGTATTCAGTACACAAGTCGTCATCCAATCAATAAACTGAAAATGAGTTATTGTTCTATTGTAGTACAAGCTTCGGCGATACCGCTATATGTGGAAGCAAGCATGAAGTATTTTTACTGTGGACTGTGGTAACAAATATTCGTAACAAAACATAATAATATCAAAGGAAGTAAATAGGTATTTTATTCGCATAATAGAATGAGAATAGTTGATTAAGGGACCACATATTTAAAGGAAGAACGGACTGTAGCGTTGTCTGATAAACCGTGATCCTTTACACTGTGATCTTTAACCCTGCTTAGGTTGATGATTATAGCCTATTGCAAACCGTGTTTTTGTAGAAGCCCATAGATCAGTAGTGGATTCTTAATGTACGCAATATAAGTGAATACAGCATTTTTCAGACTACAAACTTATAATTAAAGAAAATAACAATAATAAATCATAATTGTTGAACATTGGCTAAGATTGGCACCTTCCAGGAAACTAATGCGATTTCCTAAATGTAACGCACCGATGAATTTAGTAATTATTCGGTATCCTACCGTAGGACTCGTATTGTGTAAATATAATTAGACTTTACGAGGTAAATAGTAAAATTAAGTTGATATCATAATACGCACTACAGTATGCATGTAATCGTGCATACGTGCAAACTCTGGATGTTGCATTCTTTTTCTGTAGGTACAGCATTGGAAGCACCGTATCAAATATATATACGCTTCGAGGCTTCGAAAGATTCTACCAAGACATAAGCGTTGTGAACGTATGTGATCTTGCTCTTGGCATCAACTCAATGCAAAAAACTTGTGAGATGTGAAAGTGTTATTACATTTTACTGAGAAATTAATTTTTATCCAGCGAAGTTCGTTGCCCTTTGGGTATATTCATTGGTCCATTCTTCATCAAACGAGAGAAATGAATGTAAAGAATAGTATCGTTAGTAGTAGGTAGGTACGTTACAGATAGAAACGATTAATGACAATGACATAGTTATAACAAGAAGTAATTATTGTTTTGTTACATTCCTTAAGACTTATTTACTAAACTGTTACCTATCTAGTAAACAATATGCGGAAATAGAAATGAAAATATTGTATGGAAACAATTCTTTAGATCTCTAGCATTGATTAGGTACTATAGTTTCTCAAGATTATAAACAAATAACTTTTTCCGCGATTATGAACGAACTACCTTAAGTTCAGAATACAGGATTTGCACATTACCTAGGGACTAATCAATAAAAAAGTTATTGTTTATAAGAAAAGTGATCAATTCATTGATATGTATTTTTTATATGTATGTCGTGGTAGTCCGGAGGTTAAAGCCTACCAACGGCAAGTACCAATGTGACTTTTCCGAGTTAGTACTTTCTAAGATTATTAAGACAGCACTGACAAACGGTGAAGGAAAATGTCGTGAGGAAACCTGGACTTATAATTTCTAATTATAAGTTTGGAAGCGCTGACCCGCAATGAACCTTCTCCGTGTGAGATGAGGCTTATTGCTCAGCAGTGGCCACTTATAGGGCTATTGATGTTGATGATCAATTTATAAAAAAAATCGTCGCCAAAAGTCATTCAACTTTTACTATCTGCAACACTAGTGAAGAATAATAATTAATTATAATAATGTGACTAATGAAACTGCTAGACGGTCAGACGACGACATAAATATATGTATATTGAATATTGCACTCGGCCCCGTCAAACAT